TATTTCTTATTCGACCTGTTCTGTTAAGAAGTTCCCAGACCTTGGCACAGCAACGTAGTTTTCTTAACATAAAGTTTGCCCGTAGTAACGAAGCTTGCGGGTAGAGTGGTTCTCTGGGGAGGGTCCATGCGCCTTGACAGTTGGTACTATGCACTTTGCCCTTGAAGTTGCTACAGTAGATTATAATGTACCAAGGCTAGAACCCTGCGTCCCTAACCCGAAGCATTCGGAATCCGAACACTCTGCGAACCCTGCAACCCAAAACCCTACTGTAACCCAGACTTCGGAGAGGATCTAGAAAGTAGATCCAGAAGGAGGTTCCTGTAAAGTAACCCTGAGTAGTATAGGGTCCCAAATTAGAGGATATATTTTTCAGATCCTTCCGGGGGTCCGGGAAACCAGAAAAAGGCCAAACGTCGAGTTCCGGTATTCTGGAACCGCTGAGCCTAAATCCCGACACCCTCTGGGCCCTGCAAACTCCCACAAAACCACAGAAACCGAGATCCCTAAAACAGGAGCCTTAATAACTAGAATAGGGTTTTTGGGCCCAATATACCACAAACATATAATGGATAATAAGTAACCCCCAGAATACTATCGGCAACTATTTAGGTCTCTATACTAGACCCTTTAGACGCGACGAACTCCCATCCTAAACCCTAAACCCTAAACCCCGTCGTTCTAAGTGAGGCAAGGTGGCGCCCATCATGATCGGAATGAGACACTCGGGCTCGGCAGCCTCTCAGTGACAAAGACTTTGAGCTTTCGGGGGGCTTTCGAAGAAGGCTTTGCGGGGGTAGGGTCTAGGGGCCTAAATAAGTACCGATACTATTTTGTGGGACCCTTATTATATTTATACTAAAATGGCCCCTACATTAGGGTTTAGGGGCGGGTTAGAGGGTTCTGGGTGTCGTGGGATTTGGGTTTGTGAGGTTTAGGGTTTACAGCACTGGAGGGCTTAGGAAGCACTTCGGAGTCTTTCCTAAGAGCCTTCGGCATAAGCCGAGAAGCCCGCGGAACACAACACCGATGTCAGAATTGCAGGGTGTCCCTGAAACCCGCAACCCGAAGACCCCAAGACACACCTCCCTAAGTCTGCAGGTACCCATCTAGTGGAAACTTTTGGCCTTGAAGTACCGACATCAAGAGTCCTTTAAGACGGAAGCATGGACCAAAAGTATAGACTATATGGGTAAAATGGACCCTTAGGGTCTTCAGAATTCAAGCTGCGACCTGCAGCCCAGCAAACGACCCCAGTTACATGCGCAAGGATGCAAAGAACGGTCAAGGTTTAGGGTTTAGGGTTTAGGGTTTAGGGTTTAGGGTTTAGGGTTTAGGGTTTAGGGTTTAGGGACGATGAAACGCTCCCTACACCCTCGGCTCGGAGTGAAGGCACGGTGATGTAGGCCTGATGCACCTTAAACCCAACCCCAAAGCTCAACCTATGTTTCTCAAGCCCTATAAGCCCCACATAAACCCTATCTCAACCCCTAAAACAAGACCACGCCTGAAAGAAGCCCGAAACCCTAATGTAGGGGCCTTAATAACTAGTATAGGGTTTTGGGGCCCATTATACTATACTTATAATAAGGACCCCCGCCCAAAAACAAAAATAGTATAGGTAATCATTTAGGCCTCTATAGGTTTCCGAAAATAGGGGACCCAAATATGGTACTAGCGTTGGGGTTATCTCACAT